AATTCCTTCTCTAAATCCTGGTTCAGTGGGTCAGACAGGCTCCAAGAGCCACATGTGTCGTGGAGACCCCTGCTTCTCGACCCTTCAAGGCTTGAGGTAGGATGACCAAGCCCCTGCAGAGACTAATGGTTCCTGGGGAAGGGGTGTTGGTGCAGATCTAGAAATGTGTGGAGAAGATAAACTCCATGTGTGTGATGAACATTTTTTTTTCTTTTTCCAATAATTTTTTTAACTGTTATTCACTTTACATCCCTATCACGGCCCCTCTCCCTCCTCTCCTCCCAATCCCACCCTTATAGATTTCTACCCCCATTGTTCCCTCCCCTTCTAAGAGAAGGAGGAGACCCCTTGGGTACCACTTCACCCTGGGACTTCTAGTTCTAATAGGACTAGACATATCCTTTCCCACTGAGGCCCAACTATGCAGTCCAGGTAGGGGTAAGGGGATCCAATGGAGGGAACAGAGACCAAGACAGCCCCCACTCCACTCGTCAGGGGTCCCACATGAACACCAAGCTGCACAGTTGCTACAAATGTGTAGGGGAGCTATGTCTAGTTCCCTGGTTGGTGGCCCAGGCTCTGTGAGCCCCCATTGGCCCAGGTTAGTTGACACTATAGGTCTTCTTGTGGTATCCTTGACCCCTCTGATATACTCACCCCATCCCTCAGTCTTCTACAAACCTCCCTGAGCTCTGCCTGATATTTGGCTGTGGGTCTCTGCATCTGTTTCCTTCTGGTATTGGATGAAGCCTCTCAGAAGGCAGTTATGCTAGGTTCCTGCCTGCAAGCATATCAGATTATCATTAATACTGTCTGGAGTTGTTCTCTCACATGAGATGGGTCTCAAGTTGGGACAGTCATTGGTTGGCTGTTCCCTCAGTTTTTGTTCCATCTTTATCCTACACATCTTGTAGACAAGGTAAATTTTGGGTTGAAGGTTTTGTGTAGATTGCTGTTCCTCTCCCTCTTTTGGAAGTACCGCCTGGCTATAGGAGGTGGCCACTTCAGTCTATATCCCCCTCTGGTAGAAATTTCAGCTACTACCTTTCAATAGATTCCCCAGTCCCAGACTTCCCACTAGTCTCAGAGATGCTTCCCACTGATCTCTGTTCTCACTTCCAGCCCTCTCCTGCCCCCCTCTCCCCACATCTGAGTGACAGGCAATTTTCAGTGTCAGCCTAACTGCATCTAGAAACGTGGAGGATTGGTGATGTGGGTTTCTGAATGTTCGGAGGAGAGCATTTCCAGAAAGGTTAACTCAAGTGGAATGTGGATGGCACCATCCTGTGGGCCAGGGTCTAGGTAGACAGAAACAAAGCCAGCTAAGAGCTGGCACTCTTCTCCTCCCTATTCCCATGACCCATAGTTCAAAGTCACAGGATCCTGCTGCCAGGATGTTCTGTTCTGGCCATGGCACGTGGTACCAAGCAGCAAGGGGCTGAACTTTCTTCTTAAACTGTTTCTTCCAGGAGTTTAGTTACAACTACTAACAAGTAGCTGATACAATGTGCTACAACTACTAGCAAGTAGCTGATACAATGTGTTCTTCAATACTTTACTTCCTTGAGGGCTTATTTATTTAGCATGTGTTTACACACGTGTACATGTTTGGCATGAGTATGAAAGATAGAGATCAGCTTGCAGAGGTCAGTTCTTTCCTCAGGTTGTCAGTGTTTGCAAAAATTACATTTTCCTGCTGAGCCATCTTGCTGCCCCTTAAGAATATTTTTTAGAGTTATTTATTTAATGTATGTGAGTGTATTGTCACTGTCTTTAGACACACATCCCATTACAGATGGTTGTGAGCCACCATGTGGTTTCTGGGAATTGAACTCAGGACCCCTGGAAGAGCAGTCAATGCTCTCAACTGCTGAACTCCAGCCCCACTTGAGAGTATTTTTAAGGGATTATTTATTTTTTTCCTCTGTCAAACCTACAAAAGCCTTGACTTTTGGCCCTTCACTGGCCAGTTGTTCCTCCACAGCAGCCTTTCTGAGGCTCTTAGAGTGTGACGAGGACTGCCTTACTCTGACATAACCTCACTGGCCAGAGTAATGCTGTAGGAAGGAATAGAGGCCTGAATCGCTCAGGCTCTGGGCCCTGAGGCAAAACTTAACTCAGCTACAACCCACACACTCACTGCTCCTGTGACCACAGCAGTATATTGACTGGGAACTGGACATGTACTCTCCTGAGCCCAGTGTCTACCTTCAAGTCAGGTCGTTGTGTTTTCTCATGGAGTATCTAAGCACCTGGGCTTGCTCCGGGAAACCCTCACACTTCATGTCCTACAAAAGTTGTACAGTGCACCTATGTGTTTAGAGGTTTCTGGAAGAGGCAGACCCTCACTGGGGGACCAAAAAGAGCTCCTGATGGAGGAGCAGTGTCACCCGGTGGCCACCACACTAAGGTGAATGGGTGTCCTGGAGGTGTTGGGTGAGACCGATACCTCAGCACAGTGGAGCAACCCTGCCGGGTGTTATTTGTACTGAAAGCATCTTTTCATGGACAGGCAGCAAGCCTCTGTGACTCTTGGCTTCCTGCACACTGACTCCTCTGTGACCCCAGTGTCACGCCCTCTAAGATCCTGGAGCAAGTGCAGAGTATGGGCTTGACCTATCAAGCCACCTCTGCTGACACCACTGTAATGCAGGGTGCACAGCTCCAGGGCTCCCGTTATTTACAGTCTTCTCACATGCTGAAGCTGAAAGCTCAGAAAAAAAAAAAATTGCTGAGTGGATCACAGCTTTACCACATCTCAAGATCCAGTCATCATGGGAGATAGACGTTAAAAGTTTAAAAAGCTATTTCTACAGACTTTTATATAGCACGTAGCCCCTTTCTTCTGGAAAAACGGACTATCTCCTCTGAATTGCTTAAATACCTTTGCTTTGTAGTCACCGCTGTCTGGTTCAGGCTTCTTCAGGGATTTAAAGTATCTTCTCTTCCAAGAACAAAAAATAAAACAACCCAAACAACCAACAAACCACTCTAAATTCCATGCAGCTGGAAGCCCGGCATTGAGTGCTTTTCTGACCCTCAAAATTAATTACCCACCTGCTACCTGACACCCACAGCCCCTCTCTCACCTATCACCCCCATTTGGAAACAGCCATTTTCTTGTTTGTCTTTTCTCACTGCAATATTAAGCTCCCTGAGGCCAGGGGTCTGGTCTGCCCTGTTTAGCAATGTTGTCCTAGCACAGTAGGTTCCCAGGAAGTTATTTGTAGATTTCAAGAAGGCTCGAACTTTTAAGTAGAATGCACTGGAGTAACAGGAGCAGGTGGGACTAGGGCCCACGGGAAGGAAGTCCATTCTCTCCACAAACTCACCTTGCTGTGGTGAAAGTTTCAAGGGATCATGTGCCAGGAGCCTAGCCCTCAGTATGCGGGTTGTGTTGAGGAGTGCTGGTACCTTTAAGAGGTGGGGCCCAGTGGGAGGTGGCGAGCTGGCCCCTCCCCCTTACACTGGCTTCTGGTCTCACCCCAGGCGCTCTATTGTCATCCACCAGCGAGGTGATGCAGACAAAAGGGTTCTGATACTGTGTTTGCACCTTCCATCTCTCTCGTTGGAAGCTCACTGCTTCAGATTCTCCACATATTTCGATAAACTGTAGCAAGGTGCCCGTCTGCAGTGCTCAAATCCTCATTCTTTACCTGGGTTTTTCATCTACTCTGCTCCAACTTTTCAAGATCCTCAGAATTGTTCCCATCTGTATCCCTGAGGTGCCAAGGGCTGTGCTGAGTTCTCTCTCTCTCTCTCTCTCTCTCTCTCTCTCTCTCTCTCTCTCTCTCTCTCTCTCTCTCTCCTTCTCTCCCCCTCCCCCTCCTCCTCCTCCTCCTCCTCCTCCTCCTCCTCCTCCTCCTCCTCCTTCTCCTCCTCCCCTCTCCCCCGCCCCTGTTTTCTTCTAATGGCAGCCTCACACAGGAGTTGCCATTCCCTCTGTGCACACATGGAAGAGAGGGAGACTCAGAGACCAGGGATTCACAGAGCTGAGGGTTTGCCGTTGGCATCTTTATGGTCCGTCTTCGCCTGTCAGTACCGTTCCCTTTCTGATTTAACAGTGGCCATGATGGTAGCAACTCCTAACTAGAGGAAGAAAAGCTGTCAGTGTGGGGCCTGTGAAGGAGAAGCGCCAGGGATGGTGATTCCCGGCAAGCGTCCAGATACCCTTTCCACCAGTGTGGGCTTCACAGCTGAGTCCAGAAGGAGGCCCAAAGCCAGAGACAGGCTACCAGGTTGTGGGCTAGAGGGGCTAGAGGGCAGAAAGCTGTTTTTCAGTCTAGAAAAGAGTAACGACTGCGGTCGTTGATGCTGACAAATGAGACAACTGGGCCTCTTGTTTGGTCATTTCTATATTGGGCTGTCCTTTGCCAAGCCATACAGAAGCAGTTTAGATTTGGGGGATGGGGGTATGTTCTCAGCAGTTGAAGCAAGGGACTGGGGCTGTAGCTCAGTTGGTTGAGTGCTTGTGTAACGTGCACAGAGCCCTGGATCCCATCCTCAGTTCCTGTAGTTTGGGTGTGGAGGTGGAAGCAGGAGGATCAGAAGATCAAGGTCATGTTCTGTTATATAGAGAGTTCAAGGCCAGCAAGGGCTATATAAGGCCTCGTCTAAAAAGAGAAAAGACAGTTGAAGGAATCAGTCACCGAAGCAAGGACAACCAGATCCTGGGAAACACAATAGATATCTCAGGGTCCCAGCATGCCCCTATCCACTCCCAGCTCTACGGCTGAACCCCCACGTCCACTCTGTGTCCTGCGCCTCCTTCCTGTGTCTTTCTTCAACCTTCATCGGTGATCACCTGCTTCCCCTCCATTCAAACAGAACAGGCTGCATTCTGGATGAACATCTTGGGTTCTGGGAATTCTGCAATGACCGACGTACTGAACCAGGTTCGCCTGGCATGTCTGTTTTCCTTCCTTCCAGATCCATCCGCGGTTGCTCTCGGCGAGGTTCTGGTGGCCTTGGCTCATTTTCTGTTTTTTTCTTACCTCTAGCTATGGTATCGCTGGCTCAACCAATGTGACTGGGGATCAAGTGAAGAAGCTGGACATACTTTCCAATAACTTTGTGATCAATATGCTGAAGTCGTCCTACTCTACCTGTGTTCTCGTGTCTGAAGAAGATTCAGATGCCATCATAATAGAGCCTGATAAGAGGGTGGGTCTGTGTTCACACCTCTGAAGGCTTGCATGTGGTCATTTTTCTTCTCAACTTCGAGGAAGATTTTATTCACTTCTCTAAGCTAGATTTCCAGTGATTACCAAGTTCTCTCTCTGTTCTGTCTTCCCACCATCCTATCCCAAACCTTTCCTCTTACTGTGGTCCCAGAGGTTCCATTGATCCTGCTCTCCCCATCTCTCCGGGGTGTGTCTCCATCACTGCTGGGATCGTTAAAGCCTGGCTTCTGGTACTTGCCTGTTCATTATGACCAGTCTCCAGCCTTTGTGTTAGACCCACCGCCAAGCTGAGCCACCTCCATTTTTCTATCCCAGGCTCAGGCACTGGGATTCTTTGGTACTCAGATTGCCTGGTGAGGGCAGAGAACAAGCAATAGTCTGTATGTCCCAGCATCTAGCCCCACACCAGCATGCTGTAGGACTCAATGATAAACATGCTGGGGGAGGATGGGGCAACTGCTGGGGATTGAGGGCATGGAGGAGTACAACTATGAAAGAAAATGAGATTAAATGTCCAGCTCATGTTGACCTTAGTAAGGGGCAGAAGCCAGCCCAAAGTGACCTGCTCAACAGCCCTTGTAAAAACATCAGTACATGCCACAGAAGTCCCCGATCTTCTCGGAAGTGTCGGCCAATTCTCCAGCACTGCCCTCTGCCCCCTACTCCCTCCACCCCGAGGTGACAATGCCATCACAGTGGCTGCTGCCTCATTTTCCAGTCTACAGTTTCCTGCATCCATGGAAATGACTTGTTAAAGAACAGGCAATGAGGGAGTCCCCTGACTCTGGGAGAGCGTTAAATACCCCTCCACAACTAAAGAGGCTGAACCGGAGGTGGGAATGTCCCAGTGATGAGCTGGTAAACTGACTCCCCTGAAAAATGTCTCCAATTTGTTGAACTTAGCGAACGTTGTGGCATAAATGTTCGGTCTGGCCTGCCTGCACGCTGTCAATGGGATGTCACTGACAGAGCTCGGAAGAGCCTGATCACCGGAGCGCTCATGAGCTGGAGCTGGCCAGCCCGAGTGCCGCCACAGCAGGGGGCCATTTCCTTCAGGAGTCACAGCAGGGGTTTTGTTGAGAAATCTATGCATGACAGTCTAAAGTATCCATAGAGAGAGTCTATAAAAGAGCGGGTGGCCAAGGAGCTGAGGCAGGAAATAGGAGGTGGGACACTGGCAGGAAGAGAGGATTCTGGGAAATAGTTGAGAGATAAAAGAGCTGCTGGGAAAGCCGAGAGAGATGAGACAGGAGATGGACTGGGGAGACATAAGCAAGCAGATAAATGAACCCAGGGAGACAAGAAGGAAGACGCGGGCCGGGACTGAAGGAGAGGTAACCAACCACATGGTAGACATAGAATAGTTTAAATGGGTTATCTAAGTCACGAGCTAGTCAGGGAATGAGCTAAAGCTTACTGCCAAGGGATTTAACAATAACCAATTAATCACAGAGTCTGGGAAGGAAAGCGTATAGAATATGCTTACAAATGGTGCCTAATGGGGGCTGGAGAGATGGCTCAGCGGTTAAGAGCACTGACTGCTCTTCCAGAGGGTCCTGAGTTCAACTCCCTGCAACCACATGGTGGCTCACAACCATCTGTAATGGGATCTGATGCCCTCTTCTGCTGTATCTGAAAATAGCAACAGTGTACTCACATAAATAAATAAATAAATAAATAAATAAATAAATAAATAAGATCACGGTATAAAAAAATAAATGGTGCCTAATATGGAGCGCCATTTCTAACAATAATTTTAATAATCCATTGTTTCCTCTCCCAATTCCTGTTCCTGGAAATGATGATTCTGGGATTAAATATTTATTAATAAATGCCTAGGCTGTAAGCTTTGGCTCATTCCCTGACTAACTGATAACTTATTTAACTATTTAAATTACTCTATGTCCACAACTTGGTTGGTTACCTCTCCTTCAGCCCTAGACCACTTTTTCCTTCTTGTCTCCTCAGTGTCTCCCTCTGTGTCTTCCCCCAGTGTCTCTCTGTCTCCCTTAGTGTCTCTCTGAATTCATCTACCTGCTGATTCATCTGCCTGACTATGTCCATCTCCTCGGTCCGTCTCCCTTCTTGTCCCTCCCAGATTTCCCCTCAGCTCTCTTTTATCCCTTACTATTTCCCAGAATCCTCTTTCTTCCTGCCAGTTTCCCACCTTCTGTTTCCTGCCTCAGCTCATTGGCCATCGGCTTCTCTATTGACGGGTGATGCTTATCAGAGGGTCTCTCTACAAGTAAGCCTCTACCAAATGTGAGTGACCGATGTCTTACAAACCTAAGTGCTAAGAATGGCTTCTCATACCCTGAGGCCTTAAAAGTAAGAGAAAAAAAAATAACTAATTCTGTTTCCGCTTCTTTCCTTTGGGGCTGCCAGGACACTCTCAAACCAAATATGATTCAGTTATATCCGTGGCATAGGAAGCAATGATTTAACTATCTGTCTTCTATCACCCTCTACTTTCTATTCTAAATGATATTTTCTCTCCCTGTCTGTCTGTCTGTTCATCCATCTTCTCATACTCCCCGACATAATATAAATAAATAAGACCATTTTTCTCACCTTGTCCTTTAGAGTCCATTCAACGCATACCTTGTTTGCCTTCTGTTTTCTTTGCCCAGGGAAAATATGTTGTCTGTTTTGATCCCCTCGATGGCTCATCCAACATCGACTGCCTTGTGTCCATTGGAACCATTTTTGGCATTTACAGAAAGGTAAAGTGAAGTAAGGTAAAGTGTACAAAGCCCCTGTCTTTGATCAGAAAATAAGCATGGAGCATAAAGTTGTGGGGGCTTGAATAGATTTGCAGCAAAGCTTCATTGCCCTGCATATACTGCTCAAGAAAGATCCACAAAACTGCTAAGATACAGTGGTAGAATGCTGGTGGACAGAGAGGCCATTCCCCTCTTTCAGCTATCTCCCTCTTTTACAAAAGACGACAAGGCAGACATTGTGACAACCTTCCCAAACCAGCCCGACCTGCCCCACTGTTTTCTTCTTTAAGCTGAAAGCTTTTTTTCAAAAGTCCTTTTCACACAACACAGAGAACAGCGCCAAACAAGTCTTCTCACTTGAGATGACCCACCTCCCTCTTAGTCTAGTCTTCCTCTAGTAATTGGCAGAACCAAAAATATTCAGTTCCCATAACCAAGAATGGAACTGTAAAAGGAATGGTTGCTTGCCCTTGTGAGAAAAAAAAGCCTTAAGGAAACCAACTAACACACACACACACACACACAAACACACGAAACAAAAAAAAAAAAAAGAAAAAGAAAAACAAATTTTCTTTTCCTCCCCCAGCCTCTGGTAACCTCCGTTCCCTCTCAGGTTCTGTGAGACCAGCTTTAAAAAGTGCTCTTACTCTGGGTTATGGGAGAAAATGTCAGCAGCATCTAGCTTGTCCTCTGATGACTCCAGAGAGATGCTACAAACTACATTTCTGAGAATTTCTTTGCCGTGGGAATAACTGACCGTACTGCTCAGTGAGAGTGTGTTTCAACTGACAACAGCCCACAGAAGCAATTTTCTCATGAGACGCTCTGCTCGGCCCTGCAGCCCTCTGCTAATCCGTTTAAATAAAGGTGGAAAAGGCAGGTGAAAGGTGCTGTGGGCCTGTAATCAGGTTACGTTTATGGAGCTGTCGAGAATCTGTGTTGCTTTTTGGAAGTGATAATGGAGACACGAGGGAACATCAAATTAGGAAGATGTTAAGAGGCTGTTGACTGGAAAGAAAGATCCTGACACAGGGTGCTGGGGCCCTTCAGGAAGCTTATTGCAATCAGAACGCTGCCAGTGTGTGGAGGGAGGCAACACCTGGGGTATCAGTATCTGTTCATGAAAACAGTGGTTCTCAAACAGTGGGTCCTGACTCTTGGGGGGTTGCATATCAGATATTTACATTATGATTCACAACAGGAGAAAAAGTACATTTATGAAGCAGCAACAGAAATAATTTTGTGGTTGGGGGTGTCACAAATGAACTGTTATTAATGGGTCATCATGTGAGGAAGATTGAGAACCATTGTGTTAGGGAATACACCGCCATGCATCCTGTTGATGGCTGAGCTGGAAAAAAAGGACCATGAAACAAACTGAAAACATGTCTTTGTTTCCTCTTCTGCTTTAGAAAACAGCTGGTGAGCCTTCAGAGAAGGATGCTCTGCAGCCAGGCCGAGACCTGGTGGCAGCCGGCTATGCACTCTATGGCAGCGCCACCATGTTGGTCCTTGCCATGGACTGCGGTGTCAACTGCTTCATGCTGGACCCGGTGAGACATCTCTCAGGCTGAGTGCTTAGCTAGTACCTTTGAGCTTGGACCTGGGGTGTGTGTGTGTGTGTGTGTGCGCCACCCAACCTGGGTGTTGAGAACTGACCCCAAGTCCTCTGAAAGAGTAGCATGTGCTGAACCATCTCTCAGGCTCCCTTCTCTTGTTCTTCTTCCTTAAAAAGAAAAGAAGAAAACAACAAAACAACAAAAACCATACACACAAGGTACAAAGTACAGCAGGTGTCCTCTGTGAGAGAGGCCTATTAGAGATTGCTTGGGGTGTGGCAAACTGCTGTAAATCAGAGCATGGTCTCTACCCTTGATCTGTGCATGCTTAACAAAACAGCACTTTCACCTTCCTGGGAGCAAGGGGCACTTAATTAATAAACTGAGACTGGAGAGGAGGGTGGCACACAAGACAAAAATCTCTGCATAAGGCGGCAGGGGAAAACAGGGCAGGTCCCGAGCCCTGGACCTTTAATCTTTAATCTGAGAGAAGGGTACAGCTTCTGAAAGCAGTAATGTTTGCCAAAGTATCACCTGTCCAGATTGTCCAGTCCCTCCAATGAACTCCTGGTGCCCTCTCTCTTACTTTTGAGTTGACAGACATTTGGGAAAAAAATTTAGACTCTTGACTGCCAATTGATTGCATATAGACTTGTGATCGGGTGGGTTTCTGGGTATTTGGGAGCCTCCCTCCCTCTCCAGATACAGATGTTTGCTGGATCAGTGCAGCAGCTGGAATGCTCCCTTGCTGACTGCCAGGACATCTTCTGAGTTGAACCCATTTGCTTGCTCTCTTTGGAGGCAAGGCTACCCCAGGGAGATGCCAAGTGCCTTTCTCTTCTTTGTGTCTCCCCTGCAAGGACAAGCTGATGGCCGAGACCCACTTGTGGCTACAAGTGGGTTTCTAGCAGGCTTCCATTTTCAATGAGCTTTTATAGCTCCTGTCTTCATATGTAGGAGACTCCCCTTCACCTACTGGGTACTCAGGCTGGGTACCAAGAGGCTGCCCGGGGAGCGCGGGTGTCTGAGCTCTGCAGGCAGCCCCAGCTGCTTGCTGTGAGACAGTTTTCCTTTTTCAGATGTTTGAAGTGGAGATATTTATTTTGTCTTCCTGACCATACAAAAATATCCCTGTAAGTTTGTGGCCCAGGTTTTTAGAAATGGAAAACAGAAGGTGCAAAAGTAAAAAAAAAAAAAAAAACAAAAACAAAGACTCACTTGCAGTGATGGACTCTGTGACCTTGTTAGTTCCCACTCCTCCTCCTCAGCCTTCCCTAGCCTCAACACCCCTTTGTAGCTCCGGGAATGAGTCTTATTCTCACATCTATTTATTTATTTATTTATTTATTTATTTATTTATTTATGCATGCATGCATGCATGCATGAATTCATTCATTTATTGTTAGCACAGCCCCACTTTTCTATTTCACATACTCCTTCCATTCCTGTGTCTTAGCGGATTTTTCTTTTTTCTTTTCTTTTCTTTTCTTTCCTTTTCTTTTTTTTCATTTTTTTACTTCATACATGTATATAATGATTTTGGTCAGTTTCATCCCCTAGATTCTCTCTTTCCCTTGCTAGCCAGTCCTCTCCTACTTTCATGTCTTGTGTGCATGTGTGTGCGCGTGCGTGTGCGTGTGTATGTGTGTGAGCTTAAACAGGGTTGCTTGTATGGGCAACTTATCAATGACCATGACAATGAGTAAAATGGCCCTAGGAACATTAACTGACAATTGTCTTTCATGGAGGGGTGGGGCCTCAAGGATTCCTCCCCCATCTCTGATTTTGGAGGCAGGGTCTCAAAATGTAGCTCAGGTTGGCTCTACACTCCTCATCCTCTTGCCTCAACCTCTCTTGTATTGGGATAAGAGTTGTGCTCTCCCATGTCTGGGCTTGTGGAAATCATTTGCAGTCTTAAATCCTGTATTGCCCTGATGACATTGGCACTCTCTTACTCTCTCTGTTCTTCTTCTCACCACTGGAGCCCTCGGCTGCAGTCACTGTGCGCTGGGATGAGGTGTGGTCATGTCCCATGCTCTGATCATGCCCAGGGGAGCTTACTGGTCACCTATCTACCTTTCTCCCTTGTTTCAAAGTCCATTGGAGAATTCATTATGGTGGACAAGGATGTGAAGATCAAGAAGAAAGGTAACATCTACAGCATTAACGAGGGCTATGCCAAGGACTTTGACCCTGCCATCAATGAGTATATCCAGAGGAAGAAGTTCCCCCAGGTAAGTGAGATGGCAGGTGGGACTGGTAGGGTATTCAGCCCTGGGAGTAGTGTTCTTGAAAGCAGAAGGGACACTTGTCATTGAGAAGGGTCTAGACTTCTCTCTTTATGAGAAAATCTACTGATGTGAATTTTATCCTAGAGATGAAGGAGAGAAAGGTGGGAACCATCGAGCCCTAGATGCCGGGCCTAGAAAGCTTGCTCAGAGACATCAAAACCCGAGTACTATTTCATTATTATCTCTCAGCATATCAAAATCTGGATAATAACGTCAACCAGATGAGCTCCTTTACAACAATAAAACATTCCTATTTGGGGGCCTCTGGCCCCCAAGCACCTACTATGTGAGGTCTATACCTTCAGGCCTAGGGCTTGGTGGGTTTCTGTTTGTTGTATCACGATGATCAGTGTCAGGCAGCGGAGACGGCTCAGTGGGTAAACTGTGTGCTTCACAAGCATGGGGAAAGGAGATTGGTCCCCTGGGCCCAGCTTTCGGGAGGTCTGCCCATAATATCAGTGTGGGGATCTCCTGAGCGAGCAGTCAACTAGGATCACCAAATCATCAAGCTTTGGGTTTATGTGAAAAACCCTGTCTCAGTATCTAAGGTGGAGAGTGATGACAGAAGACACTAGACCTCAATCTATTGCTCTCACACGCAATTACATTCCCATAACCCCTTGCACATAGAAACATGCATACACACCTGCATGCACACCACCAAACACAACGCGCACACATGCATTCGCACACACACACACCTAACACACTCACACGCGCACGCACACATGTGTGTGCACACACACATGTGTGCAGATATGCACACGAGCATGCACACATGCACACGCACACACATGCACACACACACCTAACACACTCACACACGCATGCACACACGTGTGTGCACACACAAATGTGTGCAGATATGCACACGAGTACGCACACGCACACACATGCACACACACATAACACACTCACACACACACGCGCACACACATGCACGAACACAGAGACACACATATACAGACTGACGGACAGACACACACACACAATGGACAGCATCTACTTGGTGTCTCACTACAGAGGTCACTAATGAATATGAAGATAAAAAATGCCGATATGTCCGGGGCCTCTACAGGGGTGTCTGATTCTGCCTTACTGTTGATAATCTTTTCTGAGGATGCATTCCACATGTTAACATGGCATTCAGGGTCCTCAGAGCTAGCCCCCAGGCTTCCTCTCTAGTATGAATTTCTCTCCTTTCCCAAGCACAATCCTCCACACACATGCATGCCAGCAGGCCCTGTGGCAACAGCCCTTACCTCTCTGCTATTAAGTCCTGGCTTGTAGCAAGTCTTCTCCCACAAAACATACAGCCTTTCACCTGCCCAGTTCTTTAGCTTGATAAGATCTTGGTCAACCTTCAAGTTAAAATTTTCATATTGCCTGTTCCAACCCCATAGCCAGAACCACTCTCCTTGGAAGCTACTGCCCGGACATGACCCACTGGGAGAGATACTTAGTAGGCCTTGTCCCCATAACTTCCCTTCTTCTCTGGAATGGGATTTTCACTTCATGTCTTATCCCAGATCGAAGTGAGGATTTGTAAGACCCTTGGTAAGTGGCTGTGGAGCAGAGTAAGCATCAGGATATGAAGAGTATGCCTCTTACCTTCCGCCACCCTGATCTTTTGCTCATGTTAACCTTGTAGGATGGTTCAGCTCCCTTTGGTGCCCGGTATGTGGGATCCATGGTAGCTGACGTTCACCGCACTCTGGTGTACGGAGGGATCTTTTTATACCCCGCCAACAAGAAAAGCCCAAAAGGAAAGGTACGTTCATCCCCCAAAGACGAGAGAGAGAGAGAGAGAGAGGCAGTGGGATTCGTTTCCAGCCCTAGGGGGATTTGACTTCATTAGGCCAAAAGGTCACGGAGCTGATGAACACTCCTGTGGTTGCTAAGAAGTCTGTGACATAGTCTCTAGATGTGAGACTATGAGCAAAGCTCAGACTGTATCAACTGATGTCCCATGAGGGGCCTGCCAAAGCGATGGCAAAAGAGAATTAGTGGAGATCCAGAAGGAGACTAAAAACGCTCAGAGCTTCCAGGGACACGGGTTTGGCTTGGGCAGAATGGGTTCCACTCATAGAGGGAAATGAAATAGTCTTGTCTCATTACCAAGACAGAAAATCAAATATGTGTTGCAGATGGGCGTGCTTTGATGGCTCCCAAAAGCCCTAAAATAGATGTAGCTAATGAGCTTGGCATCTGCTACTTGGAAAGTAATGTTGTCTGTTGAGGGACAAAGCTACGGGGAAACCCAGTGCTTCCAGGTGGATTTTTCTACTGACCTCACTGGTCGTGTTATGGGCCATTTCCCAGCAACCCCTCGAGGCTAGTGTGCCTTCTAATGCTGATGGGGGAAAGAGTCTTTTCTTCCTCACAGAAGGTGACATAATGCTTCCTTTTCAGATATTCTGTCCTCTTTGCCACCCACCCACCCACCCACCCACCTCCCT